AATGTAAGCTCCATGAAGGGAGGGTCTTTGCCTCACTCACCATGCCTAGAACAATGCCAGGACATAGAAAATACTCCACAGACATTTGCTAACTGAACAAAGGTTTTCACTATAATTACCTGTCATTATATAACATGAAGAAAGAGCTGAAAACAAAGAACACTGGACATAGAATCGGAAGACCCGGTCTTGTCATAAACCAGCTGTTTGGCCTTGGAAAGTGTAGGGATATATGCCATTTAAACATGGCTGCAGTATTGACAACTGCAGCCCCCACAGGCCTCTATGCTGTATACGACATGTTGGAGACTTGTCAGTGATGAGAAAGACATTAGGCACGACTTGTTTTCCCAAACCTATTGTCCTGTTACTGATTGGTTTGTTTACCTGAATTCCTTCTCCCTTGCCCAAAACTTACTGTTACTCACCCAAAGCCCATTGTTCTGTTATTTGCTTTACTGCTTGCTGTACTGACTATAAAATAAACTCCTGGGGCTGAAGCCGGGGTTCGACTCCTCAGAGTGACTCCCTGGCTCCACTTCTCTGTAAGAGTTGTGGCATTGGTTATTGTCTCTGCCGCCCCGACAACCGTCGCCGCTGCGACAGTAAAGTGGCTTGTTTTTGAGTCTCAATTTTCTTATCTATAAAATAGAGACAGTAATATGCTCCCTTTTAAAAAACCACAGCATCGATGTGGAATTTAATGGAGTTTCATGTAGTATTTTCTTAGCAGGGCTGTGTTTCCGTCTTTCCTGCTGACTCTTCAGGAGCATGGGCTTTGTCTTACTCGTCTGTCACACAACTCAGCACAGGACCTGGGTCTATAAATAATTGCCAAATGAATAGTGAGCAAAGAAGGTTAAAAATTTTCCTTTGTGAAATGAACCGAGCTTCAAATATTCATGCTCCAAGTTATTTTTAAATAGTCACTGTAAGTGTCATTTCATTTTACATAGCAGACATGGCAATTAGCAAAGTGTCTGAACAGCTGGAAATGCTCCCATTTAGTCTGGCTTTTGTTCAGGATAATGAATCTGAATGCTTGCTTTGACTAAATGAATGGTTCTCTTAGATTCGTCCTGAATAAATGCTCGTGCTATTCTGATGCTTCTGAAACAGGCAGAAGACATGTGCTTCCATTTACAAAACACCAATCCTGGAATGACCCCTCAGTACAATGAAGAAAAGAAATGCTGTGTAACTTGGGGGGGCGGGGGGGCGGTGAACCAAACCTCCACTGCTTAGAGTCGGCTAATGTATGACAGAAATACACAAATTCAAAACGATCAAGTTGCAACCCGGTATCTGAAGAATCTGTACATAGATTTAGACATATAAGTACTGTCTTTTCAAAGAACCAGATCAAGATTAGAAGGAATAAAGCTTACATTAACAGGTGGTTAAAACAATTATTTAGCATAAACCCCATCCCTTGCCTATATCCATTAGATTGGAAAAGAAAGGCTTAAGTCTAGAGTTCAGAAGGAGGTCCTTCCTTAAAGGAGATTATTGGACAGACACTATTGCTGGGGAGCAAGGGGGGGCTGCCTGTACTATGTCAGCCTAAGCACTTTGGATATATTAACTCATTTAATTCTTATAACAATTCTAGGAGGATTATACTATCATCCCGATTTCACAGATGAGAAAACTAGATATTAAGAATCTTGCCCAAGGTTTCTTGTTGTTAGCTGCCACTGAGTCGGCCCCCAGCTCATGGTGTCCCCACGCACAATGGCTGTTCAGTCCTGCACCATCACCCTGATTAGTTGCAGATGGGACTACTGTGATCCATAGTGTTTTCACTGGCTGATTTTCAGAACTAGATTGCCAGTCTTTTCTTCCTAGTTTGTCTTAGTCTGGAAGCTCCACTGAAACCTGATCAGCATCATAGCAACACACAAGCCACCGCTGACAGATAGGTGATGGCAGTGCATGAGATGCACTGGCCAGGAATTCAACACGCTTCTCCCACATGGAAGGCAAGAATTCCACCATTGAACCACCAACGCACTGGTATTTGAACCAAAGCTGAGTACATGCTCTGTGATGCCATACTATCAGACTAGGACATAATTTTTAATTGTATGAATGCACACTGCAGAATGCACATTGAAAGTCAAGCGGAATTTAACAATTATTTCCTTTGAAGATTGTAGTCACATAATTTCCATCGCTTTATTTACAAACAGTTAGGCTAAGATGTGGTTTTGCAAATCAACTCAGACCACGCTATGGAGGGAAGGGGCGTGACGAAGTCAGCAGTAACAAAGAAAATTATTCAATTTGGTGACAGCAGTTTTGAGAATGGGATGGGGCGTTATTAAAGGTCTGGAATCATAAAAAAGAACACTTTGGGAATGACAGAAACTTTTGCACAGCTGCAAGAGAACTACCTTTCAAAGCAAATATTTTAAAGATTAACACCAAAAAAAACCAAACCCACTGCTGTCAAGTCAATTCCGACTCATACCAAGCCTATAGGACAGAGCAGAACTGCCCCATAGGGTTTCCAAGGCTGTAATCTTTACAGAAGTAGACCACCACATCTTTCTCCCGTGGAGCGGCTGGTGGGTTCCAACCGCTGACCTTTCAGTTAGCAGGTGAGCATTTTAACCACTGCACTACCAGAGCTCCTTCTTAAAAGATTAAATAAACCAACTTGTTGCTGTCGACTCGATTCTGACTCAAAGCGACCCTATAAGACTGGGCAGAACTGCCCCATAGGGTTTCCAAGGAGCAGCTGGTGGATTCAAACTGCCAACCTTTTGGTTAGCAGGCGAGCTCTTAACCACTGTGCCACCAGGGCTCCCTTAAAAGATGAGGAGAGATAAAAATGATTGGGAAGGAACTTGCTAATGTTGAGTTCCATTTATTTTGCAGCAATCTTCATCTGCTGGGTCTGGGTACTGAGGAAAAATTGGAAACATAATACAGCGGAGCAGGGGGGGCACCAAGAGGTTGCATTTAGGAACTATTCCAGGTGAAAATTTCCATCTGTTTTCAATTCGTAGTACAAATGGTTGGGATAGGGATATTGCTGTTGTTAGCTGCCATTGAGATTCCGACTCACGGCAACCCCACGTGTGCAGAGTAGAATTGCTCCATAGAGTTTTCAAGGCTGTGACCTTTCGGAAGCCGATCAACAAATCTGACCTCCAAGGCATCTCCGGGTGCGTTCAAACCGCCAACCTTCTGGCTAGTAGTTGAGCACTTAGCCAGTTGAGCCACCCTGGGACCCCTGGGGGAGGGGTGGTAGTGCAGAAAACAGCTGATGTTGGAGAAATTAATATTCAGCCATAAGTCAACTAACTAAAAGACAAGTTCTACAAAACTTTTGAAGCATTGTGAGTTAGCGTCATTCAGCCTGGATGGTGAAAAGTAACTAAAATCTATGGTTTTAAGAATTTTTTTTGGGGGGGGGGGTTGGGGAGGGTGAAATATTACTCTTTCCAATGGGCTTAGTCCAGGAAATTTATCTAGGAATATTTAGGGATCATATTTTGAAGACATTAAAAAAGCAACTAGAGGAAAACAAGTTAACTAGCCCCTTCTGTTTAGAACACAGACTATTTTCAGAACTATCCCTCTTAATGCTGACGAAGGCTTAGCTGTAAAATGGGTACACTGATCTTAAGGGATGCTATAAGAACAAAGAGAATTATGCAGGATATAAGCCAAAGTGTTCTACGATTTAAGGTGTTATTAAAGGGTTAATAAAGAAACCAAAAGGATTGTAAGCTAAAAAAGACAGAGGTTTTACAAAGCCAGAAAACAAATGAAAAAAAAAAACAAATCTTCCCCCCACTCCCCTCCCCCAGAGAAAAAATAAAATCTTTTCTTGAGTTTACTTACTGTTTTATAATCTATAACCTGCAAAATACCCTCAGCATCTCTTAAAAACAGCCGGCAGTTCTTTGGGCGAGAATTTCTCGCAGGGCAGGCTCTGACATTGAAGTTCCCTCCAAAAATCCCAAGAGAATTCTACTGACTTCTAAGAATGTCCTAAGGAAATGAATGTCATAAGGGCATGATCATGCAAAATGTTTAGTCTTATCTAGAATATTAAAATTGGAAGTAATCTTAAAGGTATAATAGTGGAAGAAGGATGCATTTATCACGTGAGCATCCACGTGATGGGATATTATGAAGAGTAAACCACCAAAAAAAAAAAAAAATCGCTTAGATTGTTAAATAAGAAGAAAATAAAAATAAGTAAACATTTTGTTGTTGCTAGTTGCCATGAGTCGAGTCGGCTCCAACTCATGGCAACCCCATGTGTGTCAGTATAGAACTATGCTCCATAGGGGTTTCAATGGCTGATTTTTTGGAATTAGATCACCAGGCCTTTCTTCTGAGGCACCTTTAGGTGCACTCGAACAGTCAATCTTTCAGCTAGCAGCTGAATATGTTAACCATTTGCACCACCCAGAGACTTAAAAACTATACTCATGACTATTAAAAAAAAAATACAAAAAAAGATAATTATATTGGGATGATGAAATTTTTGATTGTTTCCCACCTCCTCCCCCACCAGCTCTATCAAATTTTTTTTTTTTTAGTATTACAAAGAAAATAAAAATAAGGTAAGAATGCAAGGCTAGAAGGCCACCAGTGAACAGCACAGGCAAAGAGCACTCAAGATTAGATATGGGGCACTGAGACTAGAAGTTACAAGAAAGGTCACCGTACTCAGTAACGAATTAACTCTGCTATTTTCACCCAAACAGCAGCTCGTGCAAAACTGCCCATTTTTTCCTTCTTTCTAATCGTAGGTGCCAAAAGGTATACATCAATGCAGTGCCTGCAACAATGGGCTCAAGCATAACAACTATTGTGAGGATGGCAAAGGACTGGGCAGTGTTTTGTTCTGTTGTACAAAGGGTCACTATGCGTCAGAACCCACTGGACAGCACCTAACAACAACAACATAAGATATCTTATTCTCAAAGGCTTTTTTTAGGCCTGAACTAACATGAAATATACTACTTCTCTGGAGCTTTTTTTTTTTTTAAACTGTGAAAGAAAAATGTTGTTAAATTTACTCATCTTCCTAAACCACAATCACAAAATCATACTCATATATTGCTACAGCACTATAGAGTTTTAAGGGGTCCCCAACATAGATGGGCTATGTTTAAAAAAAAATTTTTTTTTATAGATTGCTTGTTTGAAATTCAGAAAGCATTTTTTTCCTCAGAAACATAGTGATTAGGGAACCCCAGATCTGCACACCAGAGCTTCCTTTCCACACTCTCTCTCCCGGTTAGCCAGTCTAAACCACCACTGGCTCTTTAGGCCACTTCTTTCTTATGTTTTCCAGGAGCCCCTGAGCAGTTCTCCATTTCTATCATGGAATTTTCATAAATGGAGTGTTTTTAAGCTAAGAAAATGCCTGACTAACAATTTAATTTTTTATCACCTAAAATCTACTAATATTCATTTTTACAACACTTCACTAACTTAAATTCTAGATGAAGAATTTTTAGCTATCAGAAACTTAAAAGCAAAGGGGGAAAAGTGTAGTAAAGTGTCCTAACAGTTTGGTGTTGGGTTTATGAAGGTACTCAAACATTAAAAGTAAGATGATATTTTAAAAAATTTAATAACTCAGGCTTAAAGATGAACGAATTTAAATTTAATCCTTTTTGTATAAAACTACATGGCAGTCTAATATGGGGATTAAGCGCTGAAAAACTGAGTTATAAAACATAATTACAATTTAAAGTCTTTGCGTTCTTTATCTCCTAAGCCCCTACTTTTAATACAGAATTAAACAACTTTCCCAGCCTAAGCAGAGTAGTATTATTTAACACTTTATATCTAAAAAGATACCTTAGGACATTCTGTGAGTTTTCACAGCTGTCAGGAAAGCTCTAGAAAGAAAAAGTGGGGGTTGAAAGATAAGACATAGCTTAAGCCAATAGGCCAGTGTAACTTGAACAAATACTGGCTTAGATTTTGTGTCTCTAACTATATTCATCTATTTTTCTACAAGAGCCATTTAACGGCCTTTTCATTTTCAGACAAGTAACCTTTACTTTCCATCATGTTCCAGATAAATGGATCCTAAGATTTCCTAGAGGGTGGACCTCAATTATTGGGTTCCCTCTCTACATAAGGCAAACACGCATTTTAATTTCTGTTGGAACGGGGTTTTATGCTTCAATCTGAACTTTCACTAGAGTGTTGTTCAAAAAGATTTCCAAAGCTCTCTTCTGGTCCACACGGAACAATCAGAACCTAACAGACAGAACCGGCAGAAGATCTGGAGCATGTATTAGTCATATTTGATTCTCTCTGCCAGGGGTTCCTCCTTGTAATGGGAAATAATTTGAATCAAGATGGAACAGTTGATAAGAAGGAAGAACAAACCAGCTAACCAAATAAACAGAAAGGTGTTCTTTCCCTGAAACTCAAGAAGATATGCAGGAGCAAGCCATAACGCCTGCCCCATAAACCATAACATTAGCAGAGCTACGGCTCTTTTCCAAGGCATCCTCACCAGTGGCATCACAAGAGGCAGAAGGCAGAGATACCAAAGAAAGTATTGGGAGGTGCAGACTTTGTTAAAAGTCACAAAAATGGCCGTATGAAGAAAACAACAAAAGATGAGGTCTCTGTAATAGGCGAAAGACACGGCTGAAAGCAAGACGAACTGTGGCAGGAATGCAGCAATTCCTAGAGAAAAACTCCACTTGCTCTCTGCAGTCAAATACAGCATGTAGAAGTATGGAGAAAAATTGTGACGGATGTCCCGCCTAGTGAGATGATAAATGTAGGTGTGCTCCAAAAATTCCCAACCATATTTATAGTAAAAACCTAAGCTGAGGGCAAAAAATGTGAGTCCAGCAACTGCTACAAAGAGCAGCACAGCCCAACTGCACAACCTTTTCAGGAATTCGTACAAACGACCCTGCAAAGAATACCGAGACTGACGGACGCCTTCTTCGTTGTCGCGTTCTGGAAGCAAGTGGAGGACGATGGGAAGGATATAGGTCACTGGGTACATCTTCATATGCACCGCGAAACCATAAAACACAGCGGCACACGCGACGAATCTTTTCTCTATTAAGTACAAGGTCATAAGCACGAGGGAGGCGACGATCGAGTCTGCATTGCCTCGGCTGGATACTGCCATAGGTAAGGGGTTAAGAAGCCAAAAGACACAGTAGCCACACGCTTGGCGGCGTCCTAGCCCCTTAAGAAGCAGCAGGCGGTATAAGAGGAAAGCGGTCAGAAGGTCGCAGCTGATGAAGACAAACTTTCCGAAGAGTTCGCTGAGGTAGATGTTGGGGGTGAGGAGCCAACCCAGCAAAGGGGTGTAGCGGTACGTGGCCCGCAGATACGGGGAGCGCCCTTTCGTGATGAAGCCCGCGGCGTCCGTGAAGACCTGGTAGTCTATGTCTGTAAACCTCACGTGCAGGGTCCGGTCCTGGAAGACCCCGTAGAAAACCAGCGCAACTCGGGCAAGGAAGGCCACACCAAACACCCCGGCGGGGAGCACCCGCAGATTCAGGAACCATTCTCCCCAATGCTTGCTCATGCTCATGATCTTACCGCGCGACAGCCGCTCAGCTCCAGCTCTACAGTGTCTTCCAACCTCCAACCTTCATTCGGTGCCCTACATCTGTTTGCCGGAGCAACCCCTACTAGCTAGGATGCCAATCGAAACGGCATGCCGATCACTTCCGGCATGAAACTCCGCCCACACCCTGCTTCCGGTTGGAGTCCCCGCGCGGAGTTCTCTGTCGCCCCAGCCGGAGAGTTATCTCCATCCGGATTGGCTCTCTCACTCCCGCTCCTTCCTCCAGGAGGGGCGGGATTTCCGGTCCCCGGGAAGGGGGACGTCCGTTTACCAGGAAGGTGCGCACCAGATGGGATTTTTACGGAGAGGAGCGGGATTTTTTTTTTTTTTTCACTATGTGAGTGATTTTTCTCCTTTTTGTCCGAACTCCAGTCAGTGGAGGCGGACCTCCGCCAAGAAGCCGGAGCTGCGGCTACATCCCTCAGGCCCTCACGCTTTACTCCGCCCTCGCTGGTAATCCCGGGGGGTTTGTGGTTCCTAGGGCCGAGCTAAGATGAGTTGAAGGGGCCCAGAATGTGTATGCCCCATTGCAGTGTTTCGGACATAGTTATATACTTTTAAATTATTCGTTATTTATCTGAAATTCAAATTTAGCTGGGTAGCCTGTATTTCGTCTGGCAACCTGTGTAGAGGGGATGGGAAAGGAGACAGGGAAGCTTCACAGAGTTTCTAAACCATGTCACGCCCTCATGTCTCAGTGTCTTTGTATTTGTTATTCCTTCTGCCAAGGTTGTGTTCTCCTCCCCAGTCACCCTGGCAGACACCTGCTCAGTCCTTCAAGCCTAGAAGCATATCCTGGCTTTCAACCCACTTCACCATCGCGCAGTATGATTTAGATGCCTATTCTGTGCTGACTGAGGGCAGACGGACTGGGACGGGTAGACGAGAGGATGTCTAAGCTCCAGAAAATCACTCACATAAAAGTCCCTGCCCTGCTGCATAGTGTTATTTATTGTCTGTGTATTTTTTAACAGTTTTTATGCGTGCCTTATGAGATACATTATCTAAATCTCTTATAGTTATTTAACAAGATATACCACCTGCACTGTGTACTTAGTTGTGTGAACGTGAGACAGGTCTCCTCCCTCATTTCTTCTCTTCCTCCTTTTCACTGTATTTATTGAGCATCTATACAGACCAGGCACCATGCTAGGTGCTGAACTGTACTGGTGATCAAACACTGACATGAATCCCATCCTAGTGAGGGAACAGACATTAGTGAAATAAATTCACAAGTAATGAAAAATTGCAGCTGTCTTAAGTGCTATAAAAGAGGGACGTGTGGTGCAGTCATAGCTCTTCAGGGAAATTGATCTAAGATGAGAGCACTGAGAGTTAGCAAGGTAGGGGGCTGGCAGGCAACGGGAAGAATTCCATGGAAGGAGTAGTAGGTGCAAAGCCCCATAAGATTGTACATCCCTTGATGGCATGTATCATGCCATATGTTTCTTTGTTACTTGAATGGTATCTTCAACATAATAGCAACTCGGTATTTGCTGATTTTTCTTTAATGTCAAAATGTGTTCTAACAGACCTCTTAGATCCATACCATCCCTTGCCCAGTGCCTGTTGTCCCTGTGAAATGTCTCCCAAAGAGATCTCTCTGTTTTTAGAACATGTTGTTGATGTGATATCTGACCTTCTGTATATGCAACTTGTTATTTCATCTGTTTTTTCTCACAAGTTTGTAAGTTTCTTCAAACTTTTTGGAACTATGATTTTCATATGCCTTATATGGTTCTTTGGAGCACTGGTGGCACAGTGGTTAAGAGCTCGGCTGCTAACCAAAAGGTCGGCAGTTTGAATCCACCAGCCACTCCTTGGAAACCCCATGGGGCAGTTCTGCTCTGTCCTATAGGATCCTATGAGTCAGAACAGACTCCGCGGCACCTAACAAAACAATCTAGCGATGAGTCATAAGGCGTAAGAACTATATGCCCGTTGAGGTCGAGTGTGACCTGATTCACCAGTTTCCGCAGCCTTGCGAGCCAGCAGCCTGTGGTCTAACCTGCCGGTTTGGGTTCGTCAGCCCCTGCAGCCCTGTGGGTTGGGAGAAGCCTACTGACCCACATATTTGGGATTTGCCAGCCTCCACAACTGCGTGGGCTATTTCCTTTATATGGTTCCTGAGTTCTGTGAGATGTTGCAGCGATTAGAGAACCCAAAGATGGGAGGGAGAGTGCTGAGGGAAGAGGGAGTAGTTGATGTTAGAGTGATGGAGTGGTGCAGCAGCTTGGAAAAGTTGAACATTTGGGACATCTTTAACCTCCACCTCATAGGAACCAGCTTTGTACTGATCCTTATAAATTATTTGTTTAGCTCCCATTTCTGGGTGAACAGGAGTCAGTAATTTTGGGATCTGTTGCTTCTAGTCCAAGAGAATTCAGGGCTGGATGTTTACCTTTCTCAGTGTAGAGATAGAAAAGGGTAGCAGATAAATCTATTTCTTTAGATTTGGGGGAAGAAATTCCTGGTGATTAAAGGAATAAGCCTATAGAGTCTTGAGGATACATAAGGACAACTAGCCATAACTAACTCTGGAAGGGAAACTGGACTTGGGATCACTGGCTGAAAGGGACAGTGCCCAGGATCCAAAGCAATTTGACTTTTCTGGATTAAGCTAAGCCGATTTTAGATTTCTGGGTCTTTTTTTTTTTTTTCAATTGTGTCCTTAAAAAACTGAGTTTCAAAGATATTTGCTAAAGGATCCTGTGGAATAAAAGACCTAGTTTTACCCTAAGTAAGGTGGCCTTTGTCCTTGGCTCTGGAGAAATAACTCTTGAAATAATTGGGGGCCTTGGTCTGGGACTTTCAGGCCACACTTGAGTATTTGTGCTGGCGAGTGGGGGCTGGCCAGACCAGAAAAGACTCACCTGGAAGGCCAGTATCCACTAGCCTCAGGAGGCATCATTTAACCTATCATGCAGGACTGGTTGATAAAAGCCCTGAACATGGAAGCTCAGAGAGATTCCTGGTTGATAAGATTATCTGCTCTTGGGAGGGTAGCACATCCCTTGGGACATGGAAGCTCCACACTGGGAACCCTTCCAGACCTCTCCCTATGTGTCTCTTCATTTGTATCCTTTTTGGCTTTAATAAATCTGTAGTTGTAAGTATGGTATACTCTTTGTGAATTCTGTGAGTCGTTTTCATCAAATTATTGAGCCTAAAGGGGTAGTAGGAGCCAGCAGGTCAGAAAGTAAGGGTGTTGTGTAGACCCCCAAGCTTGTGGCTGGCATCATGAAGGAGTAGTGGGAAACCAGCCCTGAATTTGGCCAGCAGGTCAGAAGGTTGGAGTGTTGTGTGGACTCCCCAAACTTGAGGCTGGCGTCGGCCTATTTGGCAATCTGAAGGATGGTGTCCTTTTAACTTGTGAGCTCTGACTTAGCTCTGGGTGGCTAGGGTGAGAGAGAGAGTGCTGTGGGAAGGAATGGGTGATATCATTAATGAAAAGCCTGCCAGGCAGTGAGAAATTATTCTAGCATAGTCTAATTCAACCCTTCTTTCCCATAGGTAACCCTGGTGGCGCAGTGGTTAAGAGCCACAGCTGCTAACCAAAAGGTAGGCAGTTCAAATCCACCAGGTGCTCCTTGAAAACTCTGTGGGGCAGTTCTACTCTGTCCTATAGGGTTGCTATGAGTGGGAATCGATTCGACAGCAAAAGGTTTGGTTTTCTGTTTTTTAGTTTTTTTTCTTCCCGCATAGGTAAGGAGCCCTGGTGGCACAGCAGTTAAAGCAGTCGACTGCTAATCATGGGTCTCTGTCTTTCCATGGGAGAAAGATCTGGCAGTCTGCTTCTGTAGAGATTTATAGCCTTGGAAACCCTGTGGAGTTGTTATGAGTCGGCATCAACTTGACGGCATTGATAGCAGTATTGGTTTAGTTTGTAAAAGAAGCTAGAATGAAGAACAGAGATTCATCCATTTTATTTAGTATCTTGTTCTGAACAGACAAAAATAAAATAAAATAACACATATCTTTTTTTCTAGGTAAATCTGACCTGGTTTAGTCTTTAATGCAGTAAATAAAAAAACCATCTTCAGCTTCAGTAGAGTGGGCCATTATTGAGCCAGGTGGCCCATGCTAACTTTACAGCAAAGGTAACGTGTTACTTTACAGATAAACGAGGTTAGCTAGCAGGGGTAAAGGATCAGGGTAGCAGCCTTGGGGCGGGGGCACTGTCCCTGGCTGGTAGCAGTAGTACAGCTAGCTTCCTTTTCCTGCTCAGGCCTCATAGGGAAATTCCTGGATGGTGTTACTAGCTGATAGGAGTTAGGGAGATAATGTGGTGAAGCACAGAGTAGGGATGTCAGAAGTCTCTCGTGAAACTGCACCATCCTCTGGGACAGCTGAGAGCCCGCTCCTTGTTTTCACAGAGAAACATCAAAGCCAAAGCATCATCCCCCCCCACCCCGTGCCCAAATGCCAGGATTGAGACCCCTGGCATAGATGGCATTCTCTTTGGGCTCTTGCAGCCATAGAGAGGGACTGGGTCTCTGCCTTGGGAGCACCTTGGGCCAACAACTCTTTAGTCCTGGTGTTTAGATTCTAGGGTTGAGGCTTCCCTTTAGTGACGCCACACACCAAGGTGTTCAGCTTCTCAGTTATACAGTCCTCACCTCCAGAACAGCTGCCCCCACCCCCGTGGAAATGAGGAGAAATATGTTGCACTTCAGATTTGGAGGGAAACAGAGGGTGCTTTTATTTAAAAAAAAAAAAAAAAAACTACAGCAACAGGACACTGCTGAGGACAGTGGCACTCAGTATGAGTAGTGGATTCTGCTAGATGTCCATGAGTGCAGTGTCTCCCTCCCCATTTCTTCTACCCCCCATTCTTTTCCTGGTCCTCTCAGTAACACCACTCATTGCACAGTGGTTAAAGCGCTCAGCTGCTAACTAAAAGGTCATCGGTTCTGAGCCCACCACTGCTGTGCTGGAGAAAGATGTGGCAGTCGCTACCTAAAGATTTACAGCCTTGGAAACCCTATGGGGCACTTCTACTCTGTCCTGTAGGGTCTCTATGAGTCAGAATAGACTTGACGGCAATGGTTTTTGGGTGTGGGATTTTTATCAGTAGCGCAGGGCTCATCAAAAGTCTCAACAGATGCCTCTGTATTTCTGAAGCTCAGCTTCCACCCTTCCCTTTCCCATCCTCAAACCTGAGGACCTTCACCAGGTATCTCACCTCCATATTGAAGGCAGGATCACTGGTTGGTTGTAAGTCTGAAAGTCAGGAGTGTCCTGCCTCACAACCAGGGCCTATCTGCCTGCTATGCTAAGGTCTCTGAATATTTCCTTTCTGTACATTCAGTATATTTGGGCATATATACATCTATATACATTTCTCTATATATTATCTCTGTTTCTTTCTCCTTAGATAATCCTTTCCTGTGTATCTTATATTCTAATTCCCTGAGCCTCGACCCACCTCGTATTTGCTAGCCCAATATGAGTAATGCTAAGTAGATGAGTAAGGCTCAAGGGTTTCATTGATTTCACTAGATCCATCCTTTCTTATCTTTGTACCCCAGGAATCTTCCCCCATCACATGTTTTGTTCATCTTCTGAAATCTCCCCTTTTAATACCTGTGCCTGGTGCTCTCCTGACATTCCAAGTCTGTGGTTGGTGTGGTCAGGGGGCCCGTTTTTCACCAGACCTAGCTGCTTCTAAAGCTTGTCCTATAGCCAAAAGGATTCTAGCTCAAACGAAGTAGAGGCTGTACTCTCAAAAGCCATTTAGGGCTGGTGGACAGGGGGCAGGGAGCAGGGAGGTGTTCCCTAGGGGTCTTCTGTGAGAAGATACCAGATTGCATTAAAGGGACGGTATGGTTTAAAGTGCAACTTAGAGCAAAGTCTTGGATAGTAGGGGAGGATCAAAAAGGGTAAGTCAGAAAATGTCCCCTTCTCACTTTGCTATCCAAGAAGCCAAGGAGAAGCTGGGGGCTTCGAATAGACAGCAGGGGAACAGGAAAAGAGTAGTTCCTTCAAGAGGGAGGCAGCTGTATGCAGAAGAAACTGGATGGAGGATGACTTGTTAATGGGTGAGAAGAGATAGATGTGCACACATATGCACACACGCACTGCAGTACTTTTTGCCCTAACACATCTAGAGAATTCAGGTAAGTCTAGTTTGAATAAAGTCGAGAGACCAGAAACTGGCTCTTTGTCTTTGTTCTCTGTTTCAGATTTTCAAGTTTTTCTGGTTCTTGTTTTCATGAGAACTAGGGAGTAATGGTGGGGCTTACAGTAGGTAGAGACTGAAGGGTCTTCATTTTCAAGATAATTAGTTGAGTTCAAGGAGAGATCAATGTAAGAGGACCTTGTGCAGTTATAGCAGGTGGTGACCATGGGTCCAGCCTCAAAATTTTATGGATTTCTCTGCAAGGCTGTGCATACGGATGCACGTACATATTCTATCAAGTGTATGGCTTGTAACCTAATTGGCTGAGTCCAGCTCACATCATTTGCCACTTGATTCATTCAGAAACTATATGCCAGACCGCTTCGTGGGGGTTCCTTGGTACCTAAATGAGACCAGAAAGTGCTCTTGAGATTTGGGACTTCAGAGAAAGTCCCAGTGCCCATAAACCCTTCCCTGACCATCTGGGTCAGTCCCCACCAGGGAACAAGGAATGGTTTAAGAGTCTTAATTGTGCTTTTTAACTTGCCTCAAACTGCCTCATGGCAAAGGAGAGTAGAGACAAGACTGATTTCCATCATTTTATACCAAGTCTCAGGAGTGGCTAAGGGAGACTGTGGTTATTTGATCAGAAGGTATAATTTCCTTCCCTCCCAGCATTACCTAATGAAATAACTGGCACTTTTCAGAGGGCACCAGGAGGGTAACAGGGAGATTAGGGACTGCTGGCCACAGAGTTCTGCTTCTGCCCAAACCTTAACAAAGCATCACTGCTTCCCAAAGGCTCTGTACAGCAGACTGGGGATCTGAGAATTTACTCATCCCACCAGTGCATCACTAGGGCTGATGTCACCCAGTGTGGTAACTCATGGTGTCACCTCCTACCCCCATGGACCTCCCCCCATACTAGACCGTACAGAATCCTTAGTAATGTTTTCTGTACTGTTAACTCGTGATTTGTAATTCCTGTATAGCACTCCTTCTTCTCCTTTAATTACTACTACTTTCTCAAAAAAGTTATTGATATAGGTTCACAGATACTAATTACCACAGTATTGTAGCTGAAATACCAAAAAATTTGACAAAATCAGTGACTATAAAAACACTGGCAGCAACGAAAGCAGCAGCACATGCTTGTAGCACGTGCAGACAAAACCACGTAATCTGAAGCATCATTGTAACCGGGTAATAATGAGAGCTCTGACTGGAGCACGTTAGATGGTTCAAAAAATAAATTAGCATAGGGTTTTAGCCTTGTAGGTATATTGATGCATGTAAGCTGGGTTTGCGAAAATGTTTTTGTTGTTACAACTACAGCGATAGTTTTATAGACAGTCATTTTGGTGTCACCTACTCTGACATTGTCACCCAGTGAGGTCCACACACGCCGCACCCCTCTAGTGACACCGCTGCATCCCACTTGGTGGGGTTGGTTTAACTTCCTTAGGAAATCTGCCCTGTGGATCTAGTTTTCAGTTGGGCATCAGTGGTGGTCATATCTGTGTCCTGTGTTTCTCAGATCAATCCCAATTCTGTAGAAACAAAGGCATCAATGAGAGAATTAAGTATCCTAAGGGAGAGTCCACTTGAGAAACTAGGGGAGAAAATTGTGGTGACCAAGGTCCTAGGTTATGATCGAAGCTAAAATGGACGTAACTGTGCCATGAAAAACCCTGGCTTCTTTCAACAGAGGTTGGTAGAGACTCCAGGATAAATTGATTCCACATTCTTCTATTTCTGAAGGCACAGACCCCAAAATAACGGTCAGAGAGCATCTTGCCTTAGGGAATTTGCTACGTAGGAAGGTAGAAGGGAGAGGGCCCCAGTCTCAAGTCAACAAACTTTCTGATGGTGGCCAGGGGAAATCTATCCATCCAACTGCGTGGTCCTCCTAATGTGAGTCTCCAGGCATGGCTGAGGCCTTCTAAGCCACTTCAGCCTAATCCTCCGTCTTCTTCCCCTATCCTGGCTTAAGGGAGGGGTGTGTGTGTGTTGGGGTGGAAGGTAAGGGGGAGGCGAAGGAGGACAATGGAAGGAAAACTTGAACCCTAATAGGCCTAGACTACCCACAGGCCGCAGGGTTAAAGAAGAGGGAGTGGAAGATGGGTGCTTCTGGGGCTCTCCAGTAAACCTGGGTAGTATCCCTTACCCAGGGTGCCAGAAGAGAGAAGAAAAGAGACCAGAGGGATGAGGAGGTGTGAATCCAGCATCAGACGTTGCTGATGCGCACACTAAGGGCAGTGCCCTCCTCAGCTTGCTCCCTTAATGACTCCTCCAACTTGAGCTTTTCTGGGTCTCCATAGCGTACGGTGCTGTCATGGAGGCCACTTGGAGGGGCCACTTTCACAACTTGATCAAAAAGGCTGAAGTCAGCTATGTATTTGCCGCTGGCTGACAGCGAGATGGCAGGTGTGAATTCGTAGCCCCAAAGGATCTCCTCTGGCAGGTAAGACGTGCGCACCTGGCAGGTGGCACTAGTGGACTCCACTGTCCCACTTAGGATCAGCACCAGCTCAAAGTCACCTTCACCACTGCGAAGGGGAAGATCTTTCAAGGGACTGGTCTCATCTACCACATGGTAGAAGGTAAGAGGTAGAATGAGGAAGGGGCTGTCAGAGGCCGTGTCTACTTGGAAAGTCACATTGACCTGGTTTAGCCGGATGTTCTCACCCTCCTTGGTCTGGTGGGTCTGAAGCAGTTTGCCTGTCACCTGGCAGCCTATGAGGAGGCTCTTACGCATATTGGCAACTCGGATCATAAGGCAGGGCTTCCCATTGCGGACGGCTACAACTGCATGCTGGCTGAAACGGATGGTCTCAGCCCGCTTCTTGGGCCGGGCAATCTTGGCCAAGAAGGTACCTGTGATGAAGATCTCCAGAATGGTGGTGAGCACCAGCTGGGCAATAAGAAGCACAATAGCCAGTGGACACTCCTCACTGATGTAACGGAAGCCATAGCCAATGGTGGTCTGGGATTCCAGGGAGAAGAGGAAGGCCCCAGTGAGTGTGTGCACCTGTACCACACAGGGGGTATGGTTGGCTGGAGGGTCCAGCTCCAGCAGGTCCCCATGGACCACAGCTACCAGATACCACACCACACCAAAGAGGAACCAGGTGCCTGCAAAGGTTGCAGAGAATAGCAGAAGCTTGTAGCGCCACTGCATGTCAATGAAGGTTGTCCACAGGTCTTTGAGGTAGAGGAAGTGCTTGTCGGTAATGTGCTCCATCCTCACGTTGCTGCGACCATCCTTTGTCAGGACTCTCCGCCGTCGTATCCCTGGGCCCATCAGGAGCTGGCTTTCTGTCTGAGTAGTCTGACTGTAATACACCTTGGCAATGGATGTCATCTAGAAGGAGCAAGACAGCATAATGGATGTTATTGCATAGATCAAGCCAACTCTAGCCACCACCCAATGCATAGGAGGAAGTAGCATCCATTTTGGTGCCACTTATTCTTTGATTAGCAGATATTTGTTGAGCACTTGCTATATACCAGGCACTATGCAAGGTGCTAGTAAGTCAAAGATGAAAATGGTATCTTTGCTCTCCAAGAACTCAGTCCAGTGAGAGACACATGTTTAGTAAGCATATAATTGCAATGCAGTCTAATATTTATAATACTTACAAGAGGAGAGACAGAAGGAGTAATAAGTTCACAGTTCCTTAAAGGTGGGGATGAGACTAAAGAGAGTTCTACTGATGTCCATTCACCACAAAACCGGTTCTGTGAAGATCTCTAATTCTGAAATAGAATCCCTCCCCACCCTCATGAATGGCACCAACAAGAAAAGCTTATTTCATTGAAATCCTTACAAGCCAGTCCCTCTTAACACACATATACCCTTAATTTCTCCATTCCCTCCCTGTTCTCTGTCACTCATCAATATACAGTAGTGATACTAAGATATTCATCTGACTGGAAAATAGCAGAAACTTCCCGTTTTTCTACTCTTTTGAGACATCTCCAACCCAAGTCTTCTGGCTCCTGGTCCAGAACATTTTAATCATAGCAACTGCTTCTGTGTACCCCAGGTTCATTCTCATGGGTCTCATACTCTCAGGAGTTGCTTCTGTAGTACCCTGTATAGAGGATCACAGCTGAGACAAGAAGATAGAGCCTGGAGCTTCCAGAGCTCAGTGCTAAGGCTATGTATTCATAGACACTGGGGATTTTGGCTACTGGCTAGCCTCTTTGCTGCTCCTGGCTGTTGTGATTGCCGCCTCTGGCGGTTGTGCTTGCCATTGCCAGCATTTATATCATCCAAGCACTATTTATTATTATTGTTATCTGTTCACATCATTTTTGGAAATTTGGTCTGGGCTGGGGTGGGATGATGTTGGGAAGGGCACAGACAGGACCTGAACAAAAAGAAATAAGCAATGGTGGGGGAGAAACAACTTGCTGAAGCTTCCTGGCAGCCCTGGGCCAATTTCCCAAGGACTGGGAGAAATGCCAGATTGTAGGTGGCAAAATTGTCTTGACCGAGTGAAGTAGGAGAGTTAGGAGTGTACATTAGTGGGTGGCTATGTTTGCGCAGGCTCAAATTCAGGATTCTATTTGTCCTGATAGTAGAAAGTGGGACAAGGCACTGAAACATGAGACAGTTCACTTACTACAAGGTGCCTGGCACCCCTGCCCAACGAGTACTTTTCCAGTAGAGAAAGAATTTTAATCACTTGAACCCTTGGCTTGGTCTGACCGCCAGATCTTCTGGGAAGGGGAGTTTGTCCCTTCTTGGAGAAGAGAGTTCGTCATATTCTCCATTCCAAGAAGTCTGAACCATTCATTTTCTTCTTCTGCACACTGCCCCCCTACCCTATCTTCCCCAGGGCCTTGTCCCCTGGAAAACTCTTAATCAGTTGGGTCCATCCATATACCCACCAAAGTGGCCACTGAGTTGGAGATCACCGGTGGATGAAAGTCCCAAGAATGTTCAGAGGCAACCAGGATGCCCATTTTACCTGCCCCCAGCCCATTTGGAACTTTTGTCCAAGTAAGACTGCTCAGCTAGACTTGGATGCCACCCACTCCCAAGTGTCTTTGGCTGCTTTGGAGCAAAAGGGAAACTGCAAATCAGAAGTTTGAAGAATTCTTATTTAGAGCCTAAGAAAAGTCTTATTCAATACTCAGTTATAGTAATAATAATAATAAATGCTTGCATCTATATACTATTTTAAAATTATACGCATCAGCATGCCTTCTCATTTGATCCTCAAACTCTTGAAAAGAAGATATGAAACCCCTATAAGATACTTTGAAGAACTATTAGAGAACGGAAGAAGTGCTGGAAGGTTGGAGATGGGTGAACATAATTTTGATTTTTAAAAGAAAAAATGAAGTACATTTCACAAACTACCTGCAAACAGGTAAGATATTGGTCGTAGGCAAGATTCTAGAATGAGGTATTAAGATTGTGAGTACTTGGGAAGGGTGGGGGAAAGGCAGTGATCCATAAGATCCAACACGGGTTTACTGTCCAGTTTCCACATGAGCACAATTACACACAATTGTACACAGACCAAGAGGCAGTCGTTTGAACAGAACAAGGGAATGTTGCATGGTTTAAAATCAAGAAAGGTGTGCGTCACGGTTGTATCCTTTCACCATACTTATTCAATCTGTGTGCTGAGCAAATAATCCAAGGAGCTGGACTATATGAAGAAGAACATGGCATTAGGATTGGAGGAAGACTCATTAACAACCTGCATTATGCAGATGACACAACCTTGCTTGCTGAAAGTGAAGAGGATTTGAAGCACTTTACTGATGAAGATCAAAGACTACAGTCTTCAGTATGGATTACACCTTAACACAAAGAAAACAAAAATCCTCACAGCTGGACCAATAAGCAACATCATGATAAACGGAGAAAATATTGAAGTTGTCAAGGATTTATTTTACTTGGATCCACAGTCAACACCCATGGAAGCAGCAGTCAAGAAATAAAACTGTGTATTGCATTGGGCAAATCTGCTGCAAAAGACCTCTTTAAAGTGTTAAAAAGCAAAGATGTCACCCTGAGGACTAAGGTGCACCTGACCTAAGCCATGGTATTTTAATCGCCTTATATGCATGCAAAAGCTGGACAATGAATAAGGAAGACTGAAGAAGAACTGATGCCTTTGAATTACAGTGTTGGTGAAGAGTATTGACTATACGATGAACTTCCAGAAGAATGAACAAATCTGTTTTGGAAGAAGTACAGCCAGAATGCTCCTTACAAGTGAGGATGGTGAGACTTCATCTCATGTACTTTGATACACAACTGCTTCTGGGTACCCCAGTTCATTCTCATGGGTTTCATGCTCTCAGGAATTGCCTCTGTAGTACCCTGTTTAGAAGATCACAGCTGAGAATGAGAATACAGAGCCTGGACATGTTGTCAGGAGGGACCGGTCCCTGGAAAAGGACATCATGCTTGGTAAAGCAAAGGGTCAGCAAAAAAAAGAGAAAGACCCTCAACAAGATGGACTGACACAGTGGCTGCAACAGTGGGTTCAAATATAGCAACGATTGTGAGGATGGTGCAGGACCGGCCAGTGTTTCATTCTGTTGTACGTAGGGTCAATATGAGTTGGAACCAACTCGACGGCACCTAACAACAACAATAACAACATAGGTTTACTAAGAACAAGTTACATCAAACCTAATTTCCTTCTATGACAGTTACTAAATTGGCAAACCAGCAAGCTGCAATAAAGTGCATCAAAGCTTCAGCAGGACTTTTGACAAGATCTCTTAATATCTTTGGAGATAAGATAGATAAAAATGAAGAGAATGCTAATCTAATTAAGTAACTTAAAAAAATCAGTGGTACTGGTGAGTGGATCATGATAGCCTGAAATCAGTTTCCTAATGATGTACTAGAGAACTTTACCTTTCACCTTGTTCTATTTGATGTACTTAAGATTAAGTTTATTAAAAACTATATGGCCATTGATTGTGTACATGACCCAAAGCTGGGATGGATTGCAAAAGTAAGGGCTGGGGCAGAATTAAGATATAAAAGGCCAAATCTAACAAAAAGGATAAATGTTGGGTTGCATATTGGGTCCAAAAATTACCTGAAGAAGTTCTGGATTGGGAAGACGTAATTTAGCAAGCATACAATGAAAAAGATATAAGCATTTTAGCAGAAAAAAATCTAGTAGGCCTTATCAATGGGTTTTGGTTGCCAAAAAAGCAATGCAATCATAAACTAGTTGAACTGAAGTATCTAGATAAGGAAGTGGTTGATTCTACTCTGCTCTCTTATCCCATATCTGCAGTATTAAGTATCAAGGAACAATCAGGATTCAGAACCAGATCATATAAGAAATAGTCGAAGGAAATGGGGAAGTTTTAGTCAGAAGGGTACCATCAGGGACATGATGGCTGTGTGCAAATATTTAGTTAGAAAGGCTGTCATGTGAAAGAGGGTTTGGACTTGTTCTTTGAGTCCCAGGAGGAACAGCCAGGACTAGTGAGTTCAAACTACAGGGAGAAGATTCCAGACTGATGTTACAAAGAGCATTGTAACAATCAGAACTGCCTAAAGGTAAGAAGAGCTTCTTGAGAGGTGGAGAGTGCCCTGTCCCTGGAGGTGTTCGAGGATAGGTTGGACAAGCACTTTGCAGAGATTCTATAATGGAGATTTAACTTTTGGATGGGAATTGAACGATTGTCTCTAAGCTTCTGTCTACATTCACGGAGGATCAGGATGCCTACCTCCTCCTCCCCACTCCTACCTCCACATGTTTTATGGTGCCAGTCAGGGACCCTTCATCAAGTCCAAGGCTTTGTGTGTGCTGACGGCCCAAGGAAAGCCTTGCTTATTGCTCCCAAAATAATAGTCTATGATTATATGTCACTTTAACCAAAAAACCAAAGCTGTTGCCATCAGTCAATTCTGACTCATAGCAACCCTATGGAACAGAGTAGAACTGCCCCATAGGGTTACCAAGGAGCGGCTGGTGGATTCAAACTGCCGACTTTTTGGTTAGCAGCCAAGCTCTTAACCACTGCGCCACCAGGGCTATAGTATTACAGTTTATAAAATATGTTGATCCTTCTATGTAGGAAAGGCATCATTAGAAACTAAGGCTCAGAGAGATTTGGCCCAAGCAGGCCAGTAGAGTTGGGACCAGAACCCAGGTCTTCTGGATCCTGGTTCAGAACTTTTTAATTGTAGCAGCTGCTTCTGTGTACCACAGGTTCATTCTCCTGGGTCTCATAGCCCCAGGAGTTGCCTCTGTAGCACCCTGTACAGAGGATCACAGCTGAGACAGAGAAGACAGAGCCTGGAGCCTCCAGAGTTCAGTGCTCAGGGTGTGTATTCATAGACACTGGAGATTTTGGCTACTGGCT